GGTTGTTTCAGGATTTGATCTGTGAGTTAGCCATGCCCTTACTTAGATCAGCCCAGAGGTTGTTTCAGGATTTGATCTGTGAGTTAGCTATGCCCTTACTTAGATCAGCCCAGAGGTTGTTTCAGGGTTGAATCTGTGAGTTAGCCATGCCCTGACTTAGATCAGCCCAGAGGTTGTTTCAGAGGGTATCAATAAAAATTGAGATATTTTTCAGTTTTTTTGAAGGTACATACCCGCGCCACACACAACACCAGCATCTTCACTATGACCACAATTATGGTTTTTCCACCCTCCAGATGAACATCTTGACAATGTTAACTCTGAGCCTGTACAATGTACATGGTCGAGCAGAATAGGGCCTGTTCCTTGACCAAATTCTGCCCCAGATATAGCCTGTGTAGCGCGGGGTAATCCAAGTTGACGACAAACGACGATGGCATCGCTTAAACCCCAATCGTCATCACAGACTGTACCCCATGTACGTGTCGGGGGATAGTAAACTTCCAGGCGTCCTTCGTTTGACGATCTTCCTCCCACCAGCCTCACGTGGAATGCTGTATGTAAGTACGATAGACAATGTGCATTATAGACAATGTGGTATATTATTAAAATAATAATCATAATAATAATAACAATTGATTGTCATCAAAACAACATATCATCGTCATCATCACCACTACATCATCACCATCATCACCATCATCTTCATCATCACCACTATCATCATCACCACTATCATCATCACCATCATCTTCATCTCATCATCACCATTATCATCATCATCATTATCATCATCATCATCACCATCATCACCATCATTGCCATCACCACCATCATCATCACTATCATCATCACCAACATCATCATCATCACCACTATCATCATCACTATCATCATCATCATCAGCATTACCATCATCACTATCATCATCACCATCATCATCACCATCATTACCATCACCACCACCATCATCACTATCATCATCACCACTATCAAAGTCATCGTCAAATTCATTCAAGTTTCAGTTATTGCTATTGGACGATGGTAATTTTGTTAAGCTTGAATTTAAATATTGGCGTGAAGTGCAGCATAGTGAAATCATTTTTTCCACCCATAGTATCCCTATATTAATTGCATTATCGCAGTTGAACATTTTTTTAATCTGGCATTTTGTCGAAAATAAGGTAACCAGTACACGATATGGTGAGTTGGACATCTCCAGGCCCATTACCAAGTCTACTGCTGCGACACCAATACCAAATGTCGGTACGTCATTTGGACGTCGCTCACCAGTTTATGTAGCCTTACCTGTTGAACAGCCCCCTTTTAAGGTCAGATCGCAACAAACCCTGTCTGAGGGGAATACGTCTGAACTGAGAGCAGCTCTGGGCGGTCCAGCAGAGGAACAGGGGTAAGAATTCCTTGCTTGCTTGCTTGCTTGCTTGCTTGCTTGCTTGCTTGCTTGCTTGCTTGCTTGCTTGCTTGCTTGCTTGCTTGC